ATTTTCAGATGAGGAAACTGAGGCACAGAGAGGTTAAGTAACTTCCATACGTCAGATGACTAGTGAGTGGTAAGGCTGGAGTTCAACTGAGTTGGTGGGTTGCCAGAGCCCAAGCTCTCAGCCTCTATACTGCATTGCCTGCCACTCAGCCCCATCTCAGAAACTGGCATGCCCTTCTCTTCCTTACTCTAACCAGAAACCGATCAGTCATCTTTCTCGCCCCTCTATTATTCCCCCTTAACTAATGCTATTAATTTTCAAGTCCTGTTGACTCCACCTCCCAAATGTCCCTCAAATATGTCTACTTCTTTCCATTTTTATTGTCACCACATGGATACAAGTCACCTATGTGTTGGCTGTAGCCACCTCCTAAGGGTTTCTATGTTTTGATCCTCTACACTCTAGTCTTCCAGGCAGTACCCAAAGTGATCACTTTAGAAATGTGAACCAGGTAATATTACTTCCCAGCTCAAAACCTGCCACATTTTTCCTTTTAAACCTTGAATTAAATTAAACTCTTTATGATGGCCTGCAGTGTTCTGCAAAATCTGATCCCTGTCTACTTTTCTGACCTCTTTCCATTTCATGCTTTCTTTATGCCACAGGGTAACTCATGTAGTTTTTTGCTATTCGAGACAAGCGCTTGAACAAGAAAATCTTTTTTGCCTTTGGGCTTTTGCTCCAGCAATGCCCTCTACTTCTGATAGCTTTCACTCACATAGGTTTTTTTCTGGTAATTCTATAACTTGCTGCTGAGATATCACCTCTGAAGAGGTGTCTTCCCTTCCCACCCCATTTAAGGTAGTTCGTCTTCCCTCTCCTGCTCACCATCCATCATATTATATAGCCTCTGCTACTACTAATTCATTCATTCTTTGTCTCCCTTTACTAAAATACAAGTTCCTTAGAGAAGAAACTTTTTTTTTTTCATACAACATGGTATCGTTAACACTTCTGATGATGCAGGACCTTTGTAGGTATGCAATAAATATTTAATGATGCATGAATGAAATATTAGAAATTCATGGTAGGACTGAAGTTTTTCCTCTCCCCTTCTAAGAAGAATAGCGATTTGAGGTTCTTGGGAAAAGTGATATGAAAGTATAAAAGCAGCATGATTTTATGTACTCAACATTTGAAATAAGAGGGTAAAAAATAAAAATTTTACCAACATTATTTTGGAAATAGAAGCAAAGGGATGTAACTTCTACCACTAAACAAAAATAAAATAAAGTAAATCAAAGTTTCTCTAAGATTGCAAAAATAAAGTCTCATTTTCTAAATCCTATATTTTGGAGGTGAAATCAAAGTTCTAGAATATTGACGTCAAATTTTCTAATATTTCCATACTTTTACATCTCTCTTTCTCCATCTTTTTTCTCTTTGATGCTACAGTAAATTTCTTTGGCTTATTATTCCTAATTTTTAAAGCTTTGGCTATATTTGAATGCATAGGAATCTTTTGGGATTTGTGCATGAATAGCAGATTCCCATTTCAGTGGGTTGGTTTGCTGCATCATAGCATTTGCTTTTTATAACTTTGTTCTTAAAATAATACTTAAAATTCACATCATTGTTCAGATCAAGAGTTTGTTCTGCATCTAGAGACACTAAGATAACTTTGCTTTAATGAGATGATGAGGAATGTATCTTAACTTTGGTTTTTAACTTCTTGGAAGTCAGACTCTTTTAGGAGCCAAGTGAAGACTGTGTACTGTTGCCTTTCCCATAAAATGCACACATAACATACACAGACACATGCACACACGTGAACACAATGTATACAATTTCAACGGACCTTATAAAGCCCAGTTTTGGATTTCTGGCTTAGTGCTTCAAGGAGCAATCTCAGCTAAAAGCATATCCATATTCACTAATCTTAGAATCCGAGACAGGGAGGCACACACAAAAGTAAAAGTTGCCGACATTTTCACACTTTCCTCCTTGTGGCATTGCCCAGGGCCTTTCCCCCAAGTTTGATTCTTGTCTTCATCTGGCTTCTAAGTTGCTCCAGTATAAATGGTCTCTCCTGGTCACTGACTACTTGGCTTTCCCTGGTCATAAGATTCATGAAAACCATAAAATAAAGCAATGCTTCATATGACTACAGCACATCAGGCAGTTCCAGAATAACTGGTGAGCCTACTTTGCTTATGCTGTCTTAGTCCAAGGAAAGAGTAAATCTCAGCAATGTGTTTGTGTTAGTACTCAGGCTCCTCTGAGTTGATGTCCATTGGGGACCCACACTACCAAATTCTATGGTTATTTATTGTTAGAATATTGTTATGTAACAAAGGCAAAAATCTACTCATTTAAAATATAAATACTTTGTTACTTTCCAAATTGTTCTTATTCCAACTAAGAAGATTATTCAAAACTACTCAAAATCCTGAGTGCTAATCACATCATTGGTGAAAAAACAATGATGTAAATTGGTCTTGATGTATATTCCAAAACCAATTGGCAATATATATCAAATTCCTTAGAAATGTAGGTACCTTTTGACCAAGTAATTTCCCCTTTGAGATTCCAGTGTAAGGAGATAATATATTGAGTGAAGATTAGCTATAAGGATGTAATCATAGTAGTGCTTATATGAGCAAATAATTGGAAAAGAATGAGTTGTCCAACAATAAAAAAAACAGTTAATTATGCTATGATATAGTTATATTAAATAAATAATGCCCTCCATATTTTAAACATAATGATATAAAAATTTTATAAATTGAGAAAATATTAACAATATTTATAGCTAGGAATCAGGTTCAGAAGCTGTATCTTTGGTAGGATCCTCTTGTGATACAATCACCTTATTCACATCCATTATAGCACTTCCTCACTGAGGAGCAGCCATGTGGTTTAGGTAGAATATTCCCTATTCTCAGCTCTAGGAGTCAGCATGGCTGGGTTTTGCCAATCTTCTGAGTGTGACAATGCCGAAGTCAATCAGGTCACCCATATTCTCCTGGGTACAGTGGTTGTTTCTCATTTAGCCAAATCCATATGCCCATCAAGACTCTTGATTAGCAGTTTGATATGGGATATGCTTTATACATATATATTAAAAAAGAAGTACGTAGTTTGATTACCTTTCACAACCATCCCACTACCATGAGGAAGACCAGGGTGAGGTTGGAGAATAGCTGAGAACCACAGAGAAATGAATCTGGAGACCTGGTCAAAGAGTATCTGAAATCTTGCCCCTGTAGATGTTTTCAGTTGCGAAACCAATAATTCTTACTTATTAATTATCCTAGCAAGAGTCTTGTTTTCCACACTTGCAACCCAAAGCATCCTAACTAATATGGACTCTAATTATTCACAAAGTGTATTCACATATTACAAAGCTACAAAATAAAATATCAATAATAATTGTCTCTTGGAGATAAGATTACCAGTTATTTTTTTCTATGCTTTGTGATTTTTTATGATTCTAGATTTTCTATGATAAATATATATAATTTTATTCAGAAAAATCAAATATAATAATAATTAGAGTCAGAATAATAATTGTCATCTAAGCTCAAACCATCAAAATTTTAATTCTGAATGGTGACAGCCTAAATGAAACAAAGGAAAAGTGGATATATTACTAGTTTTGTTTGTTTGTTTGTTTTTTAACTTTCAAAGCCAGGAATGCAAAGTTCTTAATTCCAAGACTCTTATTTTGTACATGAGTTTATTTACAAAAATTTAAAAATCTGATTAGTTCAAGATGCATGGAGATTGACATTTGCCTTCCTGCTCCACCTTCAGGACACCTAAATTGGTTTTAGGCATGACAGAATAAATAGTGGGCTTGGGATCCCCACTCCAGCATTTCCTGGATATTTGACCTCAGTCAGTTACTTAAACTCCCCGAACCTTAGTTACCTCAGCCAAGAAACACGGGGTTGAAGTTAAGTGAAACAAGCCAAGCACAGAAAGACAAATGTCACATGTTCTTGCTTATATATGGGAGCCAAAAGAATGGCTCTCATGAAGATAGAGAGTAGACTGGTGGTTACAAGAGGCTGAGAAGCAAAGAGAGGAGGACAGTATAAAGAAAGGTTGATTAATAGGTACAGATATATGATTTGAGAGAAGAAAAAGATCTAGTGTTTGATAGATCTGTGAGGTGACTATATAGTTTGCAATTATCTATCGCATACTTCAAAATAGCCAGAAAAGAATAACTGAAATGTTTCTAAAATGAAGAAAATACATACAAATATTTAAGGTGATGGACATCTCAAGTATACTGATTTGATCTTTAAAATTATTTGAACATATTAAATTATTACATGTACCCTAAATTAGGTACATTTATTTTGCATCAATAAAAGTTGTTTTAAAAAATGAAAAAAAAAAGGGGTTGGAACAAATGTCTACCTTTCCATTTGTGAAATTCTATGAGCGACTCTAGGATCATGCTTTATATTTGAGCAGAACTGATACTCAAATATAAGTAGGTTTCAACTCTCATGATAACATTCATTAATTGGTTGCCACTGCCTGAAGAGTGGTGGTAAGAAGGTCTCAAAGTACATACAGACTCAGCAGGAAAAAGTGCTATGATCTATCAATGATGTTGATGTGTATTTGAATCCTCAGTCTGGTTCATATACACATATTGTACAATGTACCCTGACTTATTTTCTTTTATTTTTTTGTAACACAGTGTCCAATGTCTTTTAAGAGTGAAATAACTGGGAAGAAATCCCTTTAAAATCAATCTACTTCTTTTCTCCTATTCCTTTGCTATCTCTTAATCATTGGTGGTGTATTGACTAAATAAGAGTTTGACTGAATAAAACTAAAACTTCAATAGTTGGGGTATAGAAGGAAATTTCTTGCTTGCTTCTTATACTTGACATTTTCTTGCAGAAGGAGTTGCAAATTAACACTTCCTAGCAAGTTAGCCAATGTCCTAATAGTGGTTCCCAGTATGGGCAGGGTGGTCAGTGAGTTGCTTGTTTGTAACTATGTTCATTTCTTGCTTCTGTCAAACTCATCCATAGTGTGGAACTTCAACAGAAACCAGTGAATAAAGATCAGTTTCCCAGAGAGAGACCAGAGGAGCTGGAGTCAGGAGGCATGTACCATTGCCACAGTGACTCCAGGCACACAGAGAACAGGGTGAATGAGCACGCCTATGCCAAGTGGAAACTCTGTGCTGCTTCAGCAATATGCTTCATTTTCATGATTGCAGAGGTTGTAGGTGAGTCTTTCTGCAGACTTTTTTGATTAAACAAGCAAACAAACAAAACTGCATCATTATGGGAGGGTTACCTAAGTTCTTCTAAAGAAAGATTTAATATTTTCTGTAAGTATAAGGTAACAATATGTTCATTGTAGATAAGTTGAAAAACAGAAGGAAACAAAATAAAATTAATCACTATCCCATATTCAAGCAATAGCCTTCAATAATTTTATGGAGTATTTTGTACAGGCATTTTCTATTCATAGCTCACACATTTTATTTTTCAAACATAACTGAGAGCATACTGAATGCTTTTGACCATACCGTCAAATACTCTTCAAAAACATTTTTATGCCTGAACAATATTCTCTAATATGCTCCACTTTAATTTACATAACCATTTCTCTATTGTTAGAAATTTAGGGAGTTTTTTCCTGCTTATGGACAATGCTGCAATGCAAAATCTTAAAGAGAACTCTGCCTGCCTTTCTGGTTAAACCCTTCAAAGAGATTCCTGAAAGTGGAAATAATTGGTTGAAGTACATGAATATTTTTATGACTTGATTCATATTGCCAGAGTGCTGCTCAGAAAGCTGAACAATTCATGTCTACCAGCTCTACATGAGAATGATTCTGACTCCAAATCTTAACTACAATTTATTTTAGTCTCTAAAAAAGCTTTGCTAATGTATAGATGAATATTTTATTTTAATATTTATTTCTCTAATTGTTACTGTTAGGCCATTTTTTGCATGCTTATTAGTGATCCATATTTCCCTCTATTAATGCATTTCCTTCTTGCCTTTTAATGTCTGTTACTCAGTTGTTTTTTAAAAAATTTTAAATTTTCTATATTGATCTCTGGGAGCTCTTTATATATTAGGATGTTAGACCTTTGCTTTACTAGTTATAAGTGCTTTTCCAGTTTGCTGTTTAACCTTTCAATGTTTGTTTTGACTTAGAGAAGTTTTAAATTTCATACAGGTAGCTGTTTCAAACTTTTCATTTTGAGCTCATTTCCTTTACTACTCTTTTACCATTTTAGTGCTTAACAATCTTTTTTCATCTACTGCGAAGACATCTTGTTTGCTAATTTTTGCATTTACTTTTTTAAACTAATGTGATGTTAGATACATCGTATGCTCTAAAAACTGATTTTTTTTCTAAATAGCTAAAACAGTTTTCAGCATCATTTATGAAATAATTATTTTCCCCATTGATTTTTAATATTTCTTTAATCATTTATTACAACTTTATAAATAGCAGGGTCTGTTTCTAAGGTGTTTCACTGAACTGTGTTTCTGGTCTCTGTCAAGGACATAATTAATGTAGATTTATATGTTATAAAATCTGTTGTTTCCTACTCATGATTTTTAACAAAGAAAAGGCAAAGCTATTCATCTGTTTATTATCCTGATTATACGTGAGAATTGTTCTGTTCAGTTCTCACCCATACAATTATGATTTTATTAATATTTAAGTTAATTTGGGAACACAGTATCTTTAAGTATTCAGCTTTCCCTCCAGGAATATATTATGTTTCTCCATTTATCCAAATATTTTACATGTCTCATCAAGATTTTACAGTATTCATCTCAATAAACAGACAGCCTAATTCTTGCAAGAGTTATTTCTGAATATTTTGTGTGTTTGGCTTATTCTTTGCAGGGGTGAGTGCAGTCCACCATTTTTCATGTTTTATTTTCTAGATAGTTACTTTTTATATTCTGAAGTTTTGATTTTTGTATATTTTTTTACTCAATTATGTATTTGAATTATTTCAATTCTACATATATTTCAGTGCATTTTCCTTTTTCCCTTCTCATGCATCTCCCCCATCCCAGGACATCACTGTCTCTTGTACAGAAAACATATTTCTCCTCATTTCAATAGTTATATCTCTTTTGTATGTTTCATGTTTTTATCATGTTAAACAATACCTTATGCTAAATCAAATCTATGTTTGATTAATTGGCTGTTAAGCGAAATGCTTCTTGAAGGTTTAAGTGTTTTGAATTATGTTAATGAAATGTCTCTGTTTCACTTTTGTAATAATTAACAAAGAATCAAGGATGAGTGTTGACTTTTAATCAAATACCTTTTCTTTTAAATTTATTGTTTTTTAAAGCTTTTTGACACATGGTTGAGGTATATTATATTAAGAGATTTCCAGATATAATATGATCTTTGCATTTGGCATTATGATAATAGCTATTATTTATTTAACACTCACTACGTGTTAGAAGCTGTGATGAGAGTTTCGAGACCAGCCTGGCCAACATGGCAAAACCCCATCTCTGCTAAAAATATAAAAATTAGCCGGATGTGGTGGCACATGCCTGTAATCTCATCTACTTGGGAGTCTGAAGCACAAGAATTGTGCATGAACCGAGGAGGCAAAGGTTGCAGTGAGCCGAGATTGTGCCACTGCAGTCCAGCCTGGGAGATAAAGTGAGACTGTACCTCAAAAACAAAAAAACAAACAAAAAAAAACCACACCTTCTTTTTTTTTTTTAATTGGCTCCCCTTTGCTTCATTCAGTGTTTATAACCTTTCACCCCTTGTGACAAGCATAGTACATTTTTCTGAGCACTGGGATAAACTGACAAGGGTGCTTGTAGAAGAGACCGCTTCAGAAGCTCCCACTGTACTAGGCCCTAATTGTTTGCCTCAAGTGAAAAGAGATCAATATATTGAAAAGCTTTAGCATCCTGGACAAAATAAAAAATTCTTACTTTGGCTTTCAAGACATTGCATAATCTGGCAGCAAAACTATCAATATTCTTGTCTTGCGGTTTCCCTGGCTACCCTATTTCAGCCAAATTTATTTATTCATTCTCTACAAAATAATCTTTGCACTTTAGATTCTTATGCTTTCTTTCTTTGACTAGAAAAGCCTTCTCTTCATTCTCCATATTCATCAAAATACTGGCCATTAGTCAAGACCCTGATCCACAGCTCACCTCCTCCCCAAAGCCATTTGTACCTATGTAAGAGAAAGCAATTATTATTCTCAGATCACGTTTGAAAATCTGAGAGGTCCTCCTGCAGGAGATGGGGTTTGAGCAAGGCCTGGAAAAGAGGACAGAAATTGAGAGATGGCCAAAAGGTAGATGGAGTAGCCTGAAGGAACAGCATACTACTTACTGCCGTGATCCAGGAAATATATATTTATCAGGGCTTGCCTTGAAAGATTCCGAGTGGGTGGGTCTGAAACAGGACAGGAAATCTGTGTGCTTAGAAATTTGGGAACCACTGCCTGTAGTAGACTGGAATTTTCTGTTCAGAAGCTTTTTCATATTCTTTTCTCTGGTTGCAATTTGGTCCTCCTGGTCTGAGAACCTCATACTCTTAGGCTGGGATGGATGTGAGATATCAAGCTGGACAGATCAGAGTCTCTGGGTCTTTATACAAGGAGGCTGGAAAAAAGGTTTCTCTCTTTCCTTTATAAAAACTGAGCTGAAGTGATACAGGTCTGGAGCTTTTAGAGTGCTACCTTTATTGCTGAAGTGGAAGAAAAGTATTTATTCAACTGGACAATCAATAGCAATAGCAAGAGACAGAGCAGGACCCAAGAATGTTTTTTGAACCTTAGGACAGGGCTGCATCTGATCCAATCCATCCAGATTTGTTCTCAGTTATATGAGCCAATATACTGATATATTATTGTTGCTGTTATTGTTTAAGCTAGTCTGGGTTAGGCATTTATGACTTACAACTGCAAAAGCCTATCCAAGGCAGGGGTGTAGGGTAAAATGTGATTAATGAAGAATATAACTAGAATGGTAGTTGGGTCAAGAAGAGCTGAGGCTCAGCTGGGGGAAAGGGATTCATTCACAGACCTTGGGGAGTAACTGACATTTAGGATGAGAGAGAAGTAGGTCATAGAGCTGTGTTTAGGGAGATAATTTGCAACAGAGTATAGAGCAATTTGAAGAAGGAACTAAAGAAGGATATAAGCATAATATGTCCACTCTTAAGGGACCTTTGAACCTGTTGAACTGGGACGCTTTCTGATTGCTTGTGAAAATCGCTAATTGTAGAAAGGCCAAAAAGAGGGGTTATGCTGCAGATGTAAACATCTGTCTCTATTTGCATGGATACATGTTCAGACACAGAAGAAAAATAACCTCAGGTACGGCCTTTGCTGGAAGAAATTGAGAGTGGTTAGGAGAGATAGCTGAAGCAGGGCTATTCAGAGTTGAGCAAGAACAGAGAAAACACTAGGTTATCAGACAGGAATTCAGAGCAGGGAGAAGGCTGGGGAAGACGGTAAGTATCTGAGTGAAAAACTTCTCTTTTACTAAGAGAAAGATATTGCTGGGTGGTGTGATACAAGTTTCACTGATGAGGTCACTTACCTTGTTCTACAGCCAGGGGTTTCAGTAACTTAGGACCCTTATATTTTTGTAGGTTCCTGGTATTAACATTTTAAGAAATGTCAGATCATGGCTGTGAGAACTGTAACATGTTTTAAACATAGTAAGTCCTCACTTAACATCGTGGAGATATTCTTGGAAACTTTGACACACAATGAAATGACATATAACAAAGACCAGTTTTACCATAGGCCAATTGAGAGAAACGAGTTAAGTTTCCATGCCATATTGGTCACAAAATGACCCATGCCATACTGGTCACAAAACACCCCCAAACTTCTAAATAAAGGCCAAAATACTTTGATTATTAAACACTGAAATAAACATGAGGTGTACATACGTCTAAGAAAGATGATAAACACAAGTGAGATAATTATGCAATATGGGGTTCATCAGTGAGTGAGGGTGGTTATAATGGTGGTGGTTACATCGAAGAATAAATGTTTGCAAAGTGGAAATTGTCAGGAGTGCCTCCTGCCGCCACACAGTTCAAACCCAAAAAGATAAAATGAGCTGGGCTTGCTGAGCACTTTCATACCATGTTCCTTTTGTTGGGCATCCATATGATGACCATTTACCTTACACATATTTATTTTACAATCATTTGTTTTCATTCATCTTTTTTGAACCCACTTATTCCAGTTTCATAGCTGGAGCCTGTCCCAGTGGCTCAGGGCTCAAGGTGGGAAACAGCCCTGAACAAGATGCCTCTAATCACAGGGCACAGCCACACCCACACTCACTCCACCAGGACCATGTAGACCTGCCAGTGAACCTCATGTGCACAGCCTTGGCATGTGGGAGAAAAACCCTAGTACTCAGAGAAAGCCCATGCAGACATGGGGAGAACATGCAAACTCCACACAGACAGCAGCCCTGGTCAGGAATCCATTTCATTTTCTTAACATTATCAACAAAGAAAGTTGAATGAAATGACATTATTTGAGGACCTGTTGTACTTGTTAAATAACTCAATGGGGTTTTAACACAACATATGCTATAGTATCATAATACTATTCACAAAGTAATTAAATAATTTAAAAACTGTGAATTAATAGCATACAACTGTGTAGCCCAGCAATGGGACACATGGCTATCATTGTCAGATAAACAGTTACTTCTTTCATTGCTGCCAGTAAGTCTCTGTTCTCCGTGGAAACCCGCATGGGGAACTGACACCATCTCAATCAGAGGTCGTTTGTGAGACCCACGCCCCATAGTTCCTCTCTTCTCTTGCTGTCGCCTCACCCCACAGGCCTTAAGTAAAGTCTCCAGGATGGAGTCTTTTCTGTATGTCTCTTATCTTGTTATAAGTGTACTGCTCTCCACATCTTGCCAAGCATTCCAGAATTATGACGGCTACTGCCTAAGTTCATGTCTTTATCATAGTTTCCCTTGTCTAACACTGTCGAGTCTTAACCTCTAGCTCCTCCTCCCTCCAAAGTCATCCTCCACATTGCTGGCAAAGACTTCTCTCTTAAATACAGATCTCAACATGCCACAGCCTTGCCTAAAAATAGTAAGTAAATCCCCTTAGTCATAGAATCACATTCAAACCTGACATATCATACCCCGCACAGGTGTTTCCAGCCTGCCTTCCCAGTCTCATTTCCCATGTTTCCTCCAGGACTCCATACCTTCAGCTTTTCCTGAAAGGTGCTATGTTCTTTCACTTCTCTATTTTTTGTCCATGCTTTTATTTCTTCCTGAAAACCCCTTCTCTTTTTGCTAATTCCTACCCCTCTCTTTGTGAAAAGTTTCTCACTCTTCCCAGTGAGAACAGCTTTCTGATCCCTTAGCCCATTAACTTGTTTCCGGTACAGTGAGTGTTAAACAAGAAAATCACTGAAGAGAGGCTGTGATTTGTTTTTCTTTGTATACCCAATCCCTGGTACCATGCACAGTAAGGGCTCAATAAATATTGGCTGAATAATTGAATTAATTGTCAGTAATATGCCATGATTTCAGAAGCAAATGCAAGATTAGTCACAAACTACCTCTTGCAAGCAGTTTGCTCTATTCATCAGTGATTGCCCACAGTTTTCTGGATGGCTCTCATAAGTAGCTCTGATGGTTGCAAAATGGTTCTCAGTTTCTAAGCCTCCATAGTAACATGCTTCTTCCAAAGCAAACCCTTTTTCTTTCTCAGGTGCCTCCTGCCTCAGCTGAGACTCTGTAAGACTGATTTCATTTCCTTGACTTAGACTATATGTCTGCCCGGCATGTAGAATCACCATCACTCATTGCTGTGATTGCAGCATAGTGCTTATCTGCATGGAACTATTCTCCAGGCAAAAATAATGCCTTATTAACACAGTTTTATCATCAGGACCAAGTTTGGCAGATAGAGCAACATTACAGGATAATTGGAAGGACAGCTGATTTGTTAGCAAAATGTTGCTTTTTGGCTAATGAATCATTCTGATTTTTGCACTGACTGTTCAGTAACAAGCTTGAAGATTACTTTGCTTCAGCCCATTAAACCCTGACAAACCAGTTATTAACTACAGCTAGAGCCAATGGCCTGTGGGGATTATCGCAATTATGAGCCATCTACGTAATTTTAAAAAATCATTAGGCGAGACAAGGTGAGTCTCATGATGGTGGGGCTGATGGCTGACAGTCTCTGCTATTCTGTGGTACACAAGGCAATAAACAGCTGCAGGGAGAACTAATCAGTCAGCAAAAGCTCTTTGCTGGGAAGATGTAGTAAGAGCAATAAAGGTTACTGCTCTCAAACAACAAACCATGTCTGGGAAGGAAAGGGCAAGGTTTTTCTTTAACTTCTATTTTGGAGGCTGGAGGTCTTTTCTCAAAGGAGAATTAGAGGGAAATAGAGGGGGCACATCAAATAGCGAGGAAAGCAAGGCAGGATTCTCATGGCTCAGATCGCATCCCTATGCTTTATTGGATTGTGGCACTCAAGACGCCCATTGGAAGATACGTGCCCTTTCTCCTTTCTGCTCCCCATTATTTATTACAGGGGTTTCAAGCTCAGGTGGATAATATAAATTAATAGAGAAAAAGGAAAGGGTAAAGATGATGATCAAATTATAAGTCAAATAAAAACACACCTGTGGGCCAGATTGCAACATCTAGTTTGTAAGCCAAAGTCCATGTCCTCATTCTGGATTACGAGACTCATTGAATCTGGCCCACACTGCTTCAGCCCGATCCTCTTGTCTTCTCCTCTTTTGAATCCTTATACCCCTATCTAAGGTGTTCTCCAGATGTGCTGCCCCATACTTTCTAATTTCTGTCTTTGCTACCCCAGGAATGACTTCTCCTTTGAAATTCATTTCTACGTGTTCAAATCATATCTACTTTCTGAGTCTAAGAAGTAGTGAATTAAATCACCTTTAAGATCTCTTTCTCCTCTAAAGTTTTGTGAGTCTGTGGCATTTTCACCCATGACAGTTGGTATGTCTATGATTCTGGTTGCATTCTGGGGCCTTAACACAGTGTACTATTTTGCATTCTCTAGGTGGGCACATTGCTGGGAGTCTTGCTGTCATCACAGATGCTGCCCACCTCTTAATTGACCTGACCAGTTTCCTGCTCAGTCTCTTCTCTCTGTGGTTGTCATCGAAGCCTCCCTCTAAGCGGCTGACGTTTGGATGGCACCGAGCAGGTACAGTTCACAGAGTGAGCAATAACACCAGGAGGGTGCCACAAAGTCAACCCAAGGGTAAAAATGGAAGATACAAAGCAAAACTTTGTTGTAAAATCCCTTAGAGACACATTTCTAATGCACAGGATAAAACAACCGTGTATATGGCAATGTGTGTTTTCAATATGAATTCAGGTAACAGACAGATTAATGGTGCTATCTCTGGGACAACAGGAACACGTATATCACTTCAGCAACCACCCCAGCATCAGGGATTCTGCACATGGTGACAGACATGACACAATTCATTAAATTACTCGGTATCCCTGGAAGAGAGGATAAGGGTAAAGCTTCTGCCATATTGCAAAATGAGGCACAGAATGCCCAAGAGAGTTATAGAGATTGAAGAACTTCTTATAGGGGATTCAGAAATAGAATATAGGCTTTCCTGCTCACACATTGCATTCAGCCATTCAGTGAATGATTCAGCTGAATATCTTACTCACTCAATCAATAATAACGCAAAAAAAGGAGGAGGAGAAGGAAGAGGAGAGGATAAAAGTTTACTTTTTCTCCTTTCTTGCAGCTGCTTTCTTCACTCAGTAGCTGCTTACTCTTGCCTAGGAAGTAGCCAGGGTGTGTGTGTGTGTGTGTGTGTGTGTGTGTGTGTGTGTTCATTCTTTATTGCTCAACCGATTCTTGTAAAAGGATGAAAGCAAACGTGTGCTGAAACATGTGCCTGAGCCTTGCCTGCCATTTATTGAATGTGGTTCATATGTGCTTCCTTAAATAATTTCACAACAATGGACAAATGAATCCACTCTGATTAAGAGAAGGAGAGAAGAAGTCTAGTGCAAATTATAGCCTTCTCAACTAATAATTATGGGGATTTCAAATAACATGTATGCACTAAAACAGACAGAAATAACGAGGTAGCATAAGTAAACAACTTGGAGGTCTCTAAATTTGGTATGTAATCACTTGGCTGTATGCTTTTTTAAATCTTAATTTTAATAAGTTCTGGAGTGTAGTTTTGTTACATAGGTCAACGTGTGCCATCGTGGTTTTTGCACCTACCAACCCATCACCTAGGTATTGATGAGGGTTTTTATGACTCATTTTTATAATCCCTCCCTTATCCGCCCCCACAATCCCACACTCTGCAACTTCGATTCTTCCTCTCGGTGTTATTCTATCAGCTGGGGCTTCTGGCTGAATATTTTGTGCAAATCACGTGAACAAATAGCCACAATTCCAACGTTTTCACACTGATTGAGAATATCAGTGTAGAGGAAATCGGAGAGCTAAGCAAGGGTGGCCAGCCTTTGCTGAAAGGGCTGTTAGACACAGATCACAGCTTTTAGACTGACCCCTGTGGACTGTGGTTTTTCAAGTTTAGAATGGCAGAAAGTCCTAATTTCATACTAAACAGTTGATCATCACAGGTGTTTTGACTTGCTTCCCTTTAACATTCAGGAGATGAGGCAATAAACAGCCGTAAAGAGAGCTCGTGACCATGTGATCCAAGAATGCTTTTGCCAGTCCTTCAACATTTACACTTGGAAAACATGAACCTCTGGCTAAGAACCCATTATTTGTCTGTATAAAGTTTTACATGTACTCGACCCTTTCTGATGCCATTTGTCAAAGCAGTTTTGTAAATGTAGGATGGTGTGAAAACAGGGTGAATGCAGAATTTAGATCACTGCTTGTACTTCGGCATCATGGCCATGCCAGCCCCTGAGCTGTTAATACAACTCTCTGCTGCAAGGGCAATATTCTATTAATACACAGTATAATGTAGCTATTGTGCACTTTAAATGCAGCTAATGCTATGGAAGAATGAGATTTTAAAATTTACTTAATTTCATTTTAAACAGCCATACATGATTGGTGGCTACCATATTAAATGGCACCTCTATAGATACAGAGGTGAGTCTAACACACTCATATCCAACACACCCATAATCTGGCCAACCCAATGATCCCAGCTTAGCTAAAAGTTATTTATTTATTTATTTATTTAAGTAATCATGGTAGCATTTACCAACCATCCTCATGTGTCTCCTGTTCTAACTAGTTACTTTTGGGTTTCTGACTCTTCGTTCTGTCCTGAGATTTGACTCCTGACTCTTGCTCTTGGTATTGAGCTTTACCCCCACAGCTCTTTTCCCACCGTGCTTCCTGACCATGGGTTTTGAGTTAGACATGCTCCATTTTATGAAAGTGGATTTGGATTTTCATGGATAGGAAGCACACTACCTGACAGCCACAAGTCAATCTTCATTTCTGGCTAACTAGAAATTCTTGGGCCTGGTCCTCATAAACCTCTGCAAAGGTGAGTTTTAAGTAGCCTCAGTAGACTCACAAAATAACAATTCCTTGAGTGTTTGCTATATGTTGTATTAGGTTCCTAGGGCTGCCTTAATAATGTACTACCAATTGGATACATTATTTTGGGGGGTACCTTATTGGGTACATTATTTTCATAACAAATTATGAAGGTTGTCTACAAATGACTGAAGTCTGGGAAATAATTGCCACACACTGGGTTATAACACATGACATTACACAAATTTCAATAAATTTTTGTTTAAACAACAGACATTGTCTGATAGTTGTGAAAAACAGAAGTCTGCAATAAGGGAGTCAGCAGGATTGGTTCTTTCTGAGGTCTGTGAGGGGAAATCAGTTCCGGGCCTCTCTCTTAGCTTCTGGTGGTTTTCTGGCAAACTTGTCATTCCTTGGCTTATAGATCTCTGCTTTAATCTTTACATGGCATTTTCCCTATTTGCATGTCTGGGTTCAGGTTTCCACTTTATATAAGGACACCAACCATATTGGGCCCATCCTACTGTATGACCTCATCTAAAAAAACTTCAACTGCAATAATCCGATTTCCAAATAAGGTCACAATCTGAGGGACTGAAGATTAGTTGTTCCTCCTCCCCCTCCCCCTCCTCCTCCTCCTCTTGCTCCTTCTCTTCATCCTTCTTCTCCCTCCTCCTTCTTCTTCCTTCCTCTCCCCCTCCCCTTCCCCTTTTCCTTCTGCCTTGTCCTCTTCCTCCTCCTCCTCCTCCTCCTTCTCCTCCTCCTCCTCCTCCTCCTTCTTCTTGAATCTTGCTCTGTCACCTAGGCTGGAGTCCATGCAGTGGCACTACCTCGGCTCACTGCAACCTCCCCTTTCCTGGTTCAATCAATTCCCCTTCCTCAGCCTCTGGAGTAGCTGGGATTACAGGCATACACCACCACGCTAAGCTAATTCCTTTGTATTTTTAGTAGAGACAAGGTTTCACCATGTTGGCCAGACTGTCTTGAACTCCTGACCTCAGGCAATCCACCTGCTTCAAGTGCTAGAATTACAGGTGTGAGTCACCATGCCCTGCCAAAGATTAGTACTTTAACATATAAATTTGGGGGAAACATAATTCAACCTGTATCAAATGGCAACTTGTTATACATATATTCTATTATTATAATGCACATAGATAAGAAAATTCAGGTTCAAATAGGTTAAGTGACTTGTCTAAAGTCACACAGCCAGTCACTGGCAGGCCATGTACATCTGACACTTGAGCTCATGCCTTAAATATTTGCATCAGCATTTCTCATAGTGTGAGAAATGTTTCACAGTTGATTAGTCAGATAATTTTAAGTGTCACAAAGACAATAATTACATATCCTGATACACATTACAAAATAAACTAGCACATCAAATATTTAATTTCATGGATAACATTGTTTGGGAAGAAGCTAAGTATAAAAAGTGAATTTATCTGAAAAAAAATCGAGTGGCTAATAAGACAGGTCGCATGTGGATATGGAAAACGTTATGATGGTTGTCTATAAATGGCTGAAGTCTGGGAAATAATTGCCACACACTGGGTAATAATACATTACATTGCTCTGCTTTAAAAGGAAATAATCTCTGGGATTAGCTTAATGTAGGGAAGGACTAAATGATGGTACCTGATCACTGACTCACAGAATGTTTCTAGACCCTTTTGGGTTTTTAGAATCTATGTACGAGTTTGAATTAAAGGTCAGAGTGAGGTGTTAAAGAACCCCTGAGTGAGCAAATGTACTTTCCTCAGTGGGCAGATTGAACACCATATTATCTTTACATACTGATATCAACATTTCCATTCTGATGCTTGTTTTTCTTACTGTTGCTCTTAAAATGCAGTCAGAGTGTTAGTAAGCCTCTGAGCTCACCTCTGTGTTTATAATGTGTTGCATTGGCAAATAAAACTCATTTTCTTCAAAGTGCTCTCTGAAGCTTTCCCTTTTCACTACTTTAATCCATTGAAGGTGCTAGCACTGACAGGTTGTAAATGTTTTATGGTGAAATTAAGAGTTTCTAAACACATTTTACTCTCAGTGTCTCATTATTTTATCTCCTAATAAGTTTCAATCATTTTAGCACCTGTTTAAATTAAGATCCCCAAGGAAAACAGTGGGGGCAGGCAGCAATTAATATGTTCTAAAAATTTGCTGAAAATTACTTAGTAAGATGGAGCATAATGACTGAGATGCTGGTGTTTCATGAATGCAATATTAAAATTCCTTCTCTTAGTTTTAAAATCCATCCACACTTTTACTTTATGAATCACTGAGTGAACTAGTGTGAAGCCTCTTTTTGTGGGGAGTGGCAAAGAGTCTTATGAGTCTTGGGGGTGTAGGTGATATAGTTATCTATGTGTGGGTTTCTGTGTGTGTTTGAATCCCTAGAGATCCTTGGTGCCCTCCTCTCCATCCTATGCATCTGGGTGGTGACTGGTGTGCTGGTATACCTGGCATGTGAGCGCCTGCTGTATCCCCATTACCAGATCCAGGCGACTGTGATGATCATCGTTTCCAGCTGTGCAGTGGCAGCCAACATTATGTAAGTCAGCTCCTGTTCCCTGCACAGTACCCATGAGGCTCACCTGTAACTATCTGGACAAAGACTTTTTGTAAAAACTCAGTACATGAGAAGATGGTAGAGACCTGAGAGAGTGTTTGAATGGCTCCAAGACTGAAAATAAGGTTGACCGTTTTCATTTAAGCTAAAGTGTGTTTTAATACTGGCTTCTGCTAGCTACCATGTTTTGAAAGATTCTGGTGTGCCAGAGACAGGGCTAGGATGTTTGGATATACATTACCAAGTTAATGTTCACAACTCCCCTATATTATAGATTAGGAAGCTGAAGCTCAGAGAGGTTAAATACACTGCCGATTTAGTACAGAGCCAGGATTTTAATCCAGATTCACAGACCCAGAATTGAGCTCCTTTACATTCTGCTCTTGTGCCTGTTGATGGTTCCACATGGGGTGTGACTTACTACTGTTCCATTTCTGTGAGGTGAGCAGATGATGGCTCCCAGTGAGCTGGGTTGGAAGGGACTCTAAAATGTATTTATTTCAGTCCTCATTTTACTTTTGCATTCTCTTTTGCTACATTTCCATAAAATGGCTATTGGTTTCATATATTTTAATAGAACTTATAAAAGGAAATTTATTTCCCTAAAAAACAGTCTATTTTATCTTTGCAGCATTGTGACTGCATGAAAATTCTTCCTTGTGCTATGTTAGCTAAATTCTCCCTTTAGTTTCAACCTTTTGGTCCATTATTTTATCTAGGCAGTCTTAAATCATTCTTACAGGAGAAGAGCACATGTTCTTTGCCAAATGAGTCTACCTTTCCCAAAATGAACTACTAGATTGCTCAGGCAATGGGGTTTTGAGGCCCGGACTTTGATCTCGAGTCAGATTTCTCCTTCCCATTTGAGGGTCTAATTCTGGGCAATTCTACTTAAAACTCTATCTATCTATCTATCTATCTATCTATCTATCTATCTATCTACCTACCTACCTACCTACCTACCTTCGTACCTACCTACCTACCTATCTACCTATGCTGGTAGACAGAATAATGACCCACTCCCATACAAAGAATTAAACATCCTGACCCCTAGAACTTCTGAATATGTTTAATCACATGGCAAAAGGAATTGTGCAAATGTGATGAAGGATATTAAAATGAGAGATTATCCTGGATTATCCAGGTGGGCCCATAATAGCAAGCATCCTTGTAAGATGGAGACAGGAGATCAGAGAGGAAAGAAGATGCTATATTACTGATGTTGAAAATGGAGAAAGCTGCTTGGACCCAGGTGGCTTCTAGAAACTAGAAAAGACAGAAACATGAATTCCCTTCTAGAACCTTCAGAAAGGATGCAGTTCCAGAGACCCACTTAGACTTCTGACTTCCAGAACTATAATAAGTTTGTGTTGTTTTAAGTTGCTAAAGCAACATGGTAATTTGTTACAGAAGCAATAGGAAACTCAGTAGCATCTATTTATCATCTGGCTGTCTATCTGCAATTCTACTTGATACATGCTACAAGGTACATTTTTACATGAAAGTGAAGAAGATTGTGATTGAACGATGAAGTTTTAGAAAGTGGATTTTAATAGGAGGCACAATGGAATGTCTGGAATTCAAGAATAGCTGAGAAAAAGTCCTTAGGTCATTCTAATAGCCTTGACTCTTGACATCTGTCTTAACCGCCTCTCAATTTTTGAACCATTGTGCAAAATCTCTGAGCTAAATAATTAGAAGAATGGTGTTTGATCTGTTGTCACTAACTAGATCCCCATCTTCTGCCAGTTAACTTGAAAATGTGTCTCACATTGGCACTGGGAGAAAAAGTGTGAGTAGATCAATGTAAATCTATCACCACTAGGAGACAAATATGCCAGTGCACACATTCTGCTGACTACAGGTCAATAATGTCATCTTTGCATAAAGAGAACAATATGGTCTTGAGGCAAAAGGAAGAATAAAAGTATTAATTTCCTGAGAGTCGTATGTCACACAGGTTGTCTTGATGCTACACAAAGATGAAGGCTAAAAACCTACCCACCTGTCGCATCAATCTGGGGCCTCAATGATCAGGTTTGATTTTCTAAACAGATATCATCCAAATTTTCTTGTAACTGCTTTTAAACATTGACCTTAACATTGCAGGTGCTTTTTACACTCAGAAAGTCAAGGCAGTTGGAAAGCTCTGTCTTCTTTGTGCAAGTAGATAGTTATTTATGGATAAGAATGCTGAGTGACTATAATATTTTCTCCAAGAATTGGGATTACAGGTTTCAAATGCTGCTAGATGCTGTATTGTTTGAATATAGAGATATCAGAACTGTGACTCAGGAATAAATCTATTCCTTGGAGACCCAAATTCAGGACAGAAAGTTCCAATAGAAGTTGTGAAGAGATTCCAGGATGAAGGTTATAAATAGAGCCTTAAGGCTATTGCCTGCTAAGTTTTCACTGCATGAAACATTTCCTCCCCTCAGCATATTTAACTCTAGCTTAAGATTTTGAATTCAACTCAGCTGCTATGTCTCTCTAACTAAATCAGACTCCTCTGTTGTATCACTCATAGTACCAGTTCTTGGTGGACTTACTGAAATTAGATTTTTCTATTTGTATCTGTGTGTGTGTGTGTGTGTGTGTGTGTGTGTGTGTGTGATCTTTACCTTCTCCAGCACATTTAAAGCTACATTAGGGAGTGACCACATCTGTTTTCACTGACCTTTATGGCCTAAGCTTTTACAAGTGTCTACATATGAGTGAGTACAGAAGTTTTTCAGAAGTTTTTTTTTCTCTCTTTTTGTCAATAAGATGAGTAAAAAAATGAATGACAACATGATGAACACACATGACAGATCAGATGAAGGTCTATGATCTGTCAGCCATATCAAGCTGTCTAAAGAACCTTAAATGGTAACTCCTAGTTGACAGTAAATTTCTACCTAAACACTGAACATCTGAAAACTGTACATTCTGTAGTGATCAGATCTTCATGGCTAGTGGTCATTCCACTTTGTGGTGATGGCCTGAGATTTAACAGACACTCTACCTGAAAACAGAATGGGATACATGGTATTGAACAATATGTTGCTGTTTTTAAACTTCTGTTCCAAAATGTTTAGAAAAAGGTCAGAAAGGCAAAACGCTCTCTTATCTGTCAATGAAAATGTTCTAATTTTATCTCTGGTCTAATACCTCTTAAAGTTATAGATAAACAGAATTAGGTACATAATTTGTAGTGTCTACTACTGATCACTTTGACTCAGAGAAGAGATGCTTGGCTTTGCAATATATTGTGTATATATATGTACACATCCAAGATCATTTTAATATGTTAATATGTTTCTACTTCTGGCTAAATAGCTATATATGCATGAGCACAATACTCTCATCATTGGACATTAAGAAATCATTCAAATTTCAAATTCTTAAGAACATGCACAAAATTAAGTAAAATAAAATACAAATTCAATAAAATACACTACTTCTTATTTTATTTATTCCTTCCTGTGTTGTTGTTTTTTTTTCATTTTAAACCATTACTTTTAATTAAGCTCCTGATGAAGCTTGGCTGTAAGCCAACTCAGTGCCTGACAGTTAGTAGACCTTCGATAAAGGAGATTTCCTCTCTTCATTGTCAAATGCTTGATTTTCATCTAAAAAGTGATGCTTTCCAGTTTCAATGTGAAAAGAGAAACATTAGGTGGATGGATGAGTAAACAGGATGCATCTTTGTAGTTTTCTTTTGTATAAAAGTATTAAAATTCTATGACATTTGTATTCAAACATTAGTCAAAAATAGTTCTTTTTAAAGCATAAACATTTTAACTATCCATCATTTTGGATAATGCATATTATTGCCAGCTCTTTCAATATGCTGCCTACATTTTTAAGACTGATCTCATGTGTGTCAAGAACATTGTTCTTTCTTTCAGACTAACTGTGGTTTTGCACCAGAGATGCCTTGGCCACAATCACAAGGAAGTGCAAGGCAATGCCAGCGTCAGAGCTGCTTTTGTTCATGCCCTCGGAGATCTATTTCAGAGTATCAGTGTGCTCGTTAGTGCACTGATTATCTACTTTAAGGTGAGTTCGTTTGAGTTTACCCACCATCATAGTACCTAACTTGAAAGAGAATGGACATCCTATGTTTACCTATACAAACTACTTTGCAAAGCTAAAGCAAGCAAACAAACACTCAACCATGGTGTTAAGATGAACAGCAACGAAACTGAATACCTTAGGGTTCTTAGATCATAAGCAATAGGGAACATCTCTGGCTCACCCTAGCAAAAAGTACATTTATTGGCCAAAATTTACTGGATGTACTCCTAGACAGATATCAAAGTAGAAATAAGGGCAAATTTTGGTATTTAGAGTTTAGAAGTGATCCAACTTCTGTCCTAGACACCATGCTTAGGTATATGTGTCTCAACAAATGTTTTGCTGTTTCTGTCACTTCTGAAGATTGATATTTCTGTGAATGTGAGTCCAATCAACCTAGGTTGTGTCTTGTATCTGCTGCTCGGCTGGAGGGAGGTTAGAATACCTGATTTATTGTTCCACCTGTATTGCCCGCAATGGGGGAGAAGTAACTTCTCCCCCAAAAGCCAAGGTGCTAATGAAAAGTGGGAATGAATCCCTGGTAAGCCTCTGACCCTAAACAATACATATCCACTATAGGTCTCTACCTGGTAATACTCTGATAACAGAGGTGAGTTGGCAGGCAGATAGTGGAGAAGAGCATTTAGTTCTGCCTATTTGCATCACAGTTGTTCAATTTGCAAAGACTAGCTGCTTTTCCTAAAAAAGTGAGAACATGTAAATAAAAATTACAAAGACATATCTAAATTCAGCTGAGCAAAATGATCACTGAAAGCTTTAAGTCTAAGGCAAAACTAGTTCAAAATTGTAAGGGTAAGTGGAGCTTGAGAGTCCACTTACAAAAGTTGAGTTGATGCTGAATTTCTTAAAGATAGTAGGGCACAAACTTTTCTATGGCATAGAATTTCATCAAGGGTAGAAAGGCAGACGTTTCACTCTGAGACTAAGGGTTACAGTGAGGAGATTGAGCAAGGATGACACTTTTGTTCACACCCTTAAGACTGCATCAAAGATGCCAGCCTTGAGTATGTGCAATACTGGAGAGGCAAAGAAATAAACTCACCCCAGTCAACCAAGAGCATAGTCCAGCTGTATGTTGGCCATACGCAATTTCCGAACAAATAATATCCTTTCTTCTGCTCATTATAATTAAGGCCAAAAAGTCACTGGATCCTGTGGGCATATTTGTACATACTTTCATCACATACTCCGTACTTTTATTAATTTGTAAGAAGTTAAATCAGGGCTCCTGAGAGACAACTTAAGAATATTCTTCCTTTTAGTTCTTAAATTATGGGGAGAGCATGTCTTGTAGTCTCACTTCTTTATTTGCTGGTAGTTTAAAGGTAAAAGGAAGGATTGAGTCTTCAGAAACCAAGTCTTGTCTGAGTTGGATGGCATGTGTTGAAAGGGTGAATGAGTCATGGAGAAGGAAAGACACAGGGAGGTTTACTTAGTTTATTAGTCAGACTTTCTGGAAGAGAGGTATGAATTCAGTTAACCAGAATCCCTGTCTTTTCTAGCCAGACTATAAAATAGCCGACCCAATCTGCACATTCATCTTTTCCATCCTGGTTTTGGCCAGCACCATCACTATCTTAAAGGACTTCTCCATCTTACTCATGGAAGGTAGGAGTGATTTTATTATAACTCCCAGAGTCAATGTTTTCTCTTCCCTAGAATCACAGAGAAAAGGCATGCTCACTGTTAATTTGTATTATGGGAAAAATTTAAAGTGATAAGGAATTTTTGTGAAAACAAACATTTTCATTTTTTCATATGGGAACAAATAAAAATAACTGGCTTCTATTTTTGCTCTAGCAACTGTTATGAACTATCTCACAGTGTGAAAACAATAAGTACAAACATCATGAGGAGATACTGGGAAAATATAAATTATTTCTTAAGTATACCTGGGAAAGACCTACAAAAAACTACATAAACTTACCCCTCAGGCTGCATTAGAGCCGAACATTTTTATCAAATTGTATCTCAGAGTGGAAGAACATCAGGGTCACCCTTTATTTATTTGCCCAGCAAGTGTTTATTGAGCCTCAACTCTGTGCTGGATAGTGTGCTCAGAGCTAGAGTTATAGAGACAAGCAAAGCAGAATACAGCTCTCTTCTGAAGTTCTGGGCCATAGTGTGCTACGAGGTTCAGGTGTGTGCACTAAGTTCAACATCAATATGGCCTCCTGGGAACAGGGTACCACTACGTTGTCTAAGGAAGGGTGAACTGGCACAGATCAGAAACAGAGCAGGTCGAAGCTCTTGATCAGTAGTGGGACTGTGCCTGTGAATAGCCACTGCCCAACAGCCTGGGCAACAGAGTGAGACCCTATCTCTTAAAGTATAGTAAAATAAAATAGAGGCTGGGCTTAGTGGCTCATGACTGTGATTCCAGGAATTACAGTTTGGGAGACTGAGGCAGGATGATTGCTTGAGTCTGGGAGTTTGAGACCAACCTGGGCAACATGACAAAACCTCATCTCTACAAAAAACATGAAAATATTAGCTGGGCATTGTGGCACATGCCTGTAGTCCCAGCTAGTCAGGAGGCTGAGGTGGGAGGATTGTTGAGCCTGGGAGGCAGAGGCTGCAGTGAGCTGAGATGGTCCCACAGTACTCTAGCCTGGGTGACAGAATAAGACCCTACCTCAAGAAAATAAATAAAATAAAAGCTCTGTCCTTATGGGTATAATACTTTAATAAGGGGAGAAAGAGTTTATTCAAAAAATGACACAGACATGCAATAGTGGGAAGTGCTACAAAGAAGAGGTGTGGGCCTTTTATTAGAGATCTTAACGTGGCTGGAAGCAGGGTGATCCCAGAGGCTTTGCTGAGGCCGACTCTTAGCCCTGAGTAGGATCTTATGTTTTAACCTCATCATCTACAGACTCATTCTCATTATCCTCGACTACTCTCCTGGGCCTGTGAAATTTTTGTCTGGCCCTTTGAGTCTTCCAACTCTCCAGGAATCTAACCCTCACTGCAAGGAAAGTCGTCCTTAGGCCTAAGGATTAATTCCTGCCTCTTCTCTCCCATTTGGCAGTTAGGTGACTTCCTTTTCATTTGGCATAAAATGGTTGAGAAATTACTGGTTTCTGCCCTTTCTAGGCTACATGCTTACTAGAAGAGTGAGCTCAGAGAGACACATCATACAATTGAAAAAGCAAAGTCTTTGTATCAGACCCACCTCAGTTCAAATGCTAGTCATGCAAGTTTCTAGCTGTGTGACCTCAATCTCCTCTGAACTTCAATTTCTCAGCTCAAAAATGGGAATATCATATCCACAATACAGTGCTATTAGGAGGATTAGATGAGATAAATGGCATTATGTCTAGAACACAGTAGGAGCTCAGTAAATATAAACTCTCAGCTAGTATTTTGGGTTGACTGGAATATAGGAAATATTGTAGAGTTGAACACTGTACTGCATATGTATCTGTACCCCAAGAAATTCCCAATTCTTGGTTACAGACTGTGGCCATAGCCCTGGTCAGCCGTTGATGCTGATGGCTTCAGAAGGGCCAGATAAGAGAGTCTTGATCAGAATAAATCCATTTTCATCACTAGAAGAACTATTCAGTGGTGTTTGGAATGGGAGAACTACTGACTCCCATTGACATTATCTTAGAATATTAAAGTATGTCAGAGAGTGACATCAGCAAGATGGCTCACTGGAGATGCCTGGGGCTAGTCCCCCTAACAAGAAAGGACCATGGCAATAAATAACCAAAGAAGATTTGAGTGGAATGTCAAAGGGAGAGTGTGGGAATGCAACCTAGGTGTCCAACAATAGATGAATGGATCAAGAAAGTGCAGTACTGTATATATACACGATGGAATTCTATTCAGCAATAAAAATGAATGAAATCCTCTTATTTTCAGCAACATGGATGGAAGTGGAGGAGATTATGCTAAGGAAAATGAGCCAGGAAATGAAAGTTAAACACCACATGTTTTGACTAATATGTGGAAGCTAAAAAAAAAATTGTTCTCATAGAAGTAAAAAGTAGAACAGACAGCAGAGGCAGGGAAGGGGAAGGGGAAGAGGAAGAGAAGGATAGGGAGAGAGTTGTTAAAGGATGCAAAGTTACAGTGAGATAGGAGGAATAAGCTCTAGTGTTCTACAGCACTGTAGGATGACAAGAATACAGTTAACAATAATATATAGTTTCAAATAGCTAGAAGGAAGATGTTAAATGTTCCCAACACAATGAAATAATAAAAGTATGAGATGATGAATTTGTTAATTTCCTTAATCTGATCACTATGCATTATCTGTATGGCAACAGCACTGTGTCCCACACATATGTACAATTATCGTCAATTAAAAATGTTTCAAATGTAAAACTGAGGTATATTATGGACTTAAGGTAATTGATTATATTTACAAGGTGAGTTATCATTGCTACACTGATCATTTGTAATTAACAAATGATATTATTTTCTATCCTATATTCTAGGAAAATAGGTATTATGAAGAACTTGCCTAAAATACTTATTAGATTAACCCAACAGTTCTCAAACTTTAGTGGCATCAGAATCTCTTGGAGGGTTTATTAAAACACAGATATCTGAGCCCACTCCCACAGTTCTTGAATCAGTATTGTGAAGGAATAGGAGGGACAAGAATTTGAATTTCTAACAAGACGCTGGTGCTGCTGGTCCCAGTATAATACTTCAGGAGCCACTGGACTAGTCTTTTCGTACCACTGAAGGGATTCCTACATGCTGGCCCTGGGAACGGCACCTGTAAATTCAGTCAGAGCTAGAGGTTTATATCACATCAAACATCCAGATGATTGAAATATCCCGACATTAGCTGAATTTTTTTTTTTTTTTGGTCCAGCGCATTTTGACATAGGTAGATCTGGTCTCAGAGTGCAATTGCCTTCAGTGACAGCTCACACGTCATCAGCGTTCACTGCTAAGTATACATTTAAGGGTTTGTTCTCGGTGGGCACTATAATTGTTGAAAGATGATAGTGTTGACAACAGTGAAATGGATAATGGAGTCAAATGTCACAGAGTAACTGAATTTTCTGGCTCTAAACATGAGAATATTTGGTTTGTCAAGTCACAGAAGCATCCATTTTCTTTCCTGAGGGCCAAGGGCTAAGCTGCAGCTGTTGTTGCTACTATGGAAGTTACTGACTTAGAGGAAGATAAAAGACAAGTTGGCATACAATTGGAAATGACTTACATTCCACTTTTTTTTTTTTTTGTTCTCACTATAGCTTTTCCCTGGTGATTATCTTTCTTACTTTACTTCAGAAAAAGTGCAGAGACTGGGCTATCTTAGCTAATTATAGAAACTGGCAGATAACTCCTTTCTGGAAGACACTTTTTAAATTAGGTTTTCAAATTATGTTAGTATAATACTCAGTAAAATTTAAAAACAATATAAAAAGTATGAAATAATTTTTAAAAGTCTCCTCATATTTTCATCTTTGATTTCTCAGTCCTATTCTTCAGGGGTAATACCTATTAATAAGTTGATATTTATCTTTTTGAAGATATTTGTGCATTTGCATATATATACATGTATATATGTATGTGATATATACATGTATTTTTTTTATAAAAATGAGATTACATATTGATTCACATTTTTCTCTACACCTGACATTTTTCACTTGGAGATCTTTTGTATTAACACACACATAGATATACCCCATTCTTCTTCACAGCTGTAGTTACTCCACAGCATGGAAATACTTGCTTGTGATGGACATTACAAACAATGATGTAATTACCACTCTTGTACATATATATTTTTAGCACTTATATATTTGTGGAATAATTCCTAGAAGTGATATTGCTGTTTCAAAACTTACATACTGTATTTGTCTGTTTTTGTACTGCTCATAAAGATGTACCTAAGACTGAGTAATTATAAAGAACAAGAGGTTTAATGGACTCACAGTTTCACATGGCTGGGGAGGCCTCATAATCATGGCAGAAGGCAAAGGAGGAGCAAAGTCATGCCTAACATGGCAGCGGACAAGAGAGCTTATGCAGGGGAACTCCCATTTATAAAACCAGCAGACCTCATGAGACTTACTCACTACCATGAGAACAGTATGGAGGAACTGCTCCCATAATTCAATAATCTTCACCTGGCCCCACCCTTGACACATGGGGATTATTACAATTAAAGGTGAGATTTGGGTGGGGACACAGCCAAACCATATCACATGCATTTCAAAATTTGATAGATATTACTGTTTCTATCAAAGATACAGTATCAATTTCTTTCCCTCCAACAGCATATGAAAGTGCCACTTTCCATACATCATCACCACCACTGAGTATTATCAAACTGTTCATTCTTTTCTACTGATAGGTGAAATATTGTATCTTATTGATTTCAAATGCTATTGTTTAATTATGAATGGTGTTCAGTGGTTTTAAAAATACAAGTCTAGGATGTTATTTATTAAACATGATTTTAGATATTTTCTTGGATGCATTAATATTTTTCCAGACTCCCCCCCCAAGTAAAAGAAAGTTCTAGAATGTGATGGAGCATTGAGGCCAGTGGAGCCATGCCTCTTATCTGACAACATTATTTATTTCTTTTTTTCTTTCCCCAAGATGAAGTTTTACTCATGTTGCCCAGGCCCGAGTGCAATGACGCCATCTTGACTCAATGCAACCTCTGCCTCTTGGGTTCAAGTGATTCTCCTGCCTCAGCCTCCCTAGCAGCTGGGATTACAGGCATGTGCCACCGTACCCAGCTAATTTTTCTATTTTTAGTAGAGACAGGGTTTCTCCATGTTGACCAGGCTGGTTTCGAACTCCTGACCTCAGGTGATCCACTTGTCTTGGCCTCCCAAAGTGCTGGGATTACACTCATGAGCCACCACACCCAGCAGCAACATTATTTCTTATAATAAAATAAGTCATGGTGGACCTGTGTTCTCTGTAATAGTAATGAGATGGAGACAAGAGAAAAAAGGGTAGTAGGATCATGACTTAATTTCAAAGGTCCTAGGTGAAAGACAGTGGGTCTTCAATTAGTCAACAGAAATTCCCCAAAGAGATGAAACACATTAGGCATAATAAATGATATTTTGATTGCAATTCCTAGACTCTAATATTTGCATAACACTTTATACTCAGAGCACAGATGTTGGGATCTGATATCACTGATTCTGCCACTTCTCTGTATGGCCTTAGCAATGTTCCTTAATCTAACTGACCCCAATTTCCTCTCCTATAGTTAAATAAGAATTGTAACCTTAATAGCTAGCTCCTAAAGTTTTTAGGACTATTAAATGAGATAATTGCTATAAGTAAAGTACTTAGCACAAATCTTATACATAGTGAGTCCTCAATAAAAGTTTGTTATTATTACTATAATATAACAATTTTACCCATGACTTTATTCCAATTGTGTGGTTCATTTGAGACAAGAATTTCTTTCATCTGCTTCTAGGAGCCTAGGCCTTTTGCCACTCATAGAATAAAATAATGTGACAACCAGCTCTTTGTTACTTCCCCAAACAGTATGAGGTAGGAATAAAAACTCAGCTCATACTGTAGAGAATTTTGAGTTAAATCCAAGGAAGAAATCCCCCATGAGCAAGGTTCTTATTTATGCCTAGTGTCCCATTATTGGAATGCTAAGCACATGGGAGTTGTTTATATCCAACTGCTCAAGGTCATTGCCAGGGTCTGATTGTAAAAATTCAAAAAATTGCAATCTCAGGCATAACTGGGTTAAATTTTTAAAAAGGAGGGTTAAGGATTCCCCATTTCTCTAAGTAGATAGTTCTCAGCTCTAGCTGCTCATTACAATCCTCTGGGAAGCTTTTAAAAAATACTTATGCTCAGGCCTTCCATATCCAGTATATCAGGCTCTTCTCACATTGCTATAAAGAAATATCTGAGATGGGGTATCTTATAAAGAGGTTTAATTGGCTCATGGTTCTGCAGGCTATATAGGAATTCTGGGAGGCTTCAAGAAGCTTCCAATAATGACAGAAGGCAAAGAGGGAGCAGGCACATCACATGATGAGAGTGGAGCAAGGGCAGGGAAGCGTCACACATTTTTAAATGACTAGATCTCACAAGAACTCACTCATTATCGCAAAGACAGCACCAAGCCATGAAGGATCTGCCCCATGACCCAAACACCTCTCACCAGACCCCATCCCCAGCATTGGGGATTAAAATACAACATGAGACATTGGTAAGGACAAACATGCAAACCGTATCACCCAGAGATTCTGATTTAATTGTATGGGTTTGGGGCTGGCTTTGGTATTTTTAAAAACATGTAGTCAGGTTTGAGAACCACTGCAAAGCAGAGCTGTGCAGTGGCTCATGAATGTTAACGCAGTGGTTCTCAATCTTGGCTGCCTGATAGAATCACCAAATGATCACTGATATTGGGCCTATCCACAGAGATTCTGATTTAATTGGTCTTAGGTATAACTTGGTCATCAGGATTTCCAAAATCTCCTCTGGTAATACTAATGTGCATCCAAGGTTGAAAACCACTCTAAAAGACTCTAGATTTCGGAACTTCATCCATGGAAATTTCCTTTAGGTCTGGAATGGAGTCATAGTACATTTATTTTTAATAAACACCCCAGGTATTTGCGCTGTTTGTACATAACTGAAGTATAAGCTAAAAACAGGCTGTACTTAGACATCTCTCCTACAACATCATCCAAAGCAGCTAAAATAATGGAAAACTTAGAAACCAAATAACAGTATTATACAATGTTAGGATCCTCTATTAGTCCAGCTCACTAAATGACCTGTTGGGTAACTAACATTTGTACAACACTGCCGTTCATAATAATTAAATATTTTCTGAATTGCTCCTCAAAGATCTCTGTGATCTATGTATTGTTCTTATCACCCTTATTTTACTACAGATGTGCTGAGGATCAGAGAAGTTCTGGGATTTGGGTAAACTCACCAATGCTGTCATCAGAATGCTAACTCATGATTATTTGATACCAAATTTCATGTTAATTCATTTTGCTTTCCAGAGTGTATATAAAGATAGTTGGGAAAGGCACAGTTAGTTTAATAATATGCCATAAAAACTAAGGGTAATTACTATTGCTGGTGATCGCATAGTAAATTCTGCTAGTATTCTGAGTGGGAACTTTTGCTTGATGGTAAACCTTAAAGTACTCAGGTAAATCTTATTTGTAAACATCTGAAGTAAGAAACCAGCACAGATGAGAATGTGGAAATTTTGGTGAAGACTCTGCCACTTGTTTAGGTAACTCGATGAGCTGTATTTCGTTGAATAACTACAGCCTCCATCTCTTACCTTTTGTTAGGTGTTCCAAAGAGCCTGAATTACAATGGTGTGAAAGAGCTTATTTTAGCAGTCGACGGGGTGGTGTCTGTGCACAGCCTGCACATCTGGTCTCTAACAATGAATCAAGTAATTCTCTCAGCTCATGTTGCTACAGGTCAGTGAGTTTTGTAAACACCCTGGAAAAAATTCAGTCTTTGTCTTGTAAAGTCAGTAATTTCCCTCCTTTTTGTAGAGCTGCCCTTACTGTCTGCTGCCTGTCAAAACACTATAAAGTGTTTTCTATTCCCAAGGACCTTTGAAACCAACCCACTTATTGATGTTGTCATAGCAACAATGATACCCAACTGACAGCCTTGGGACTGACTGCAGAGGGCAGAGGACAGACAAAGCAAAGGGCTAAAATGGGACCCCAACCTCAAGGTCTTGGACTCTGAAAGTTCAACTTCATCTGTTTGGCTTGGTGCCCTATCAGTCAAATAGTAGGAATGAATTAAAAACTTAATTGATTATCTCCTATATAAGATGTTTTTCCTAGCACTGAAAGTAGAAAGATGAAAGAAACCCAGTCCCCACTCTTAAATTTCTAACAAGCTAACAGATGTGCTAATAGGAATTATGGTGGGTCCCACACTGTATGGTTAGAAATTCTGTAGCCATGTTAGATAATTCTTATAATATTAGGTTTATAGTAAAAATTACTTCTTCAAGAAGTTAATTTTATCTCCGATATGTCCTAGAGCTGGGAGGATAGGCAGTTGGAGGGCATTTACTGCCTCAAGAGAAAACTCAGGCCAAGGATAATACATTAGGCTGCTAAAAAATGACTCAAGAAGTTACTTAGGGACAGGGGACAGGAACACTAGTGACAGTCATTTGAAAACTGTGCTTTCTCAGACATCCTCATCTTCTCGAAGGGGCTCAGATCTGACTTTAGGGAATTTACAGCATTCACTATGCCAATATTTCACTGCAAATGGAAGAATCTAGTAAACACTCAGGTTGCTATGGAGGGGACTTTACAGCCTGCTGATAGCATTTGCGACAGGAAAAAAAATGGTAGTGAGGTTGCTGCTCTAAGAAAGGTCTGTGGGGAGCTCTAAACGCTTTCTGGTTCCTGTCACTATCCTTGATATAAATTCTCATTACATACAAGGCCTGAAATCCAGAGATCCCTGGGAGCTGGTGAGCAGGGCTATATACGAAGTAATAGTTTTGTCTTGGCTTTTTCCAGGGCTTGTCTCTCTTTCCATCCAAAGCTCCTAGCAATGACAGACTCCTGAGATAACAGTGGACAGAAAGAGTTCCCATAGCGACAGGGCACTTTGCTGCACTAGAGTTTCCCCTGCCTTGTCTGTGTGAACGTCGCTGATTATCAGTGCCAGCCTGGCTTCTTCTGAGTGCCCTGCCTCTTCCCTGCCCCGGCAGGTCAAAGACAAAGTACTTGAAGTTGGAGTCACAGCAGTCACCCATGCGTGTGCAATCAGTGCTAATCTCCCTGTGGTTCTTTATCAACAGCAGCCAGCCGTGACAGCCAGATGGTTCGGAGAGAAATTGCTAGAGCCCTCAGCAAAAGCTTTATGATACACTCACTCACCATTCAGTTGGAATCTCCAGTGGACCAGGACCCAGACTGCCTTTTCTGTGAAGACCCCCATGACTAGCTCAGTCATACTGTCAGCTTCCCAAATTTGACAGGCCACCTCCAAACATACTGTTATGCAGTTTCTACATCATAGAAAATAAGGAACCAAAGGAAGAAATTTAAGGAAGTCATGTTATGGCACAATGCGCATTTTATCTATTTATTTAGCTCCATCCATCATGAAGGAAGAGGCACTGAGATCCATCAATCAATTGGATTATATACTGATCAGTAGCTGTGTTCAATTACAGGAACATGTATATAGATTAGTCGTGAGTGGAGCCAAACTAACAGCTGTTTGTAGCTATTGGCAAATCAAAATTCATCTCCCTTCCAATAATGGCTCTTGAGAACACATAGGTAAATTTGAACCCAGGAAAGTCTTACCAGAAATCAGTGGAAGGGACAAATAGTCATAAAATTTTCCCAAAACAAGAAAAACAAAAAATAAAGAGAGTCAACTCAGGAATAAAAGTGACTTTGTATGCTAACACCCCATTAGAACTTAGTTCTATAACGTGATTTTTTTTCCTCCTCTGAATTGGACATATGTATGAATATACAGAGAGGCAGGTACAACTAATTTTTATTTACTTGTCACATTTTGGTAATAAATCTCTCTCATTTCTAAATTCTAACCCGTTTACTTCAAAACTTTACATAATCACTGTTCAAAAGGAAATATTTTCACCTACCGGAGTGCTTAAACACCAGCAACAGCCAAAGAATGTGGCAGAGACTCAGAAATCTTCAAGAACAGCCGACAAAAGCATTTGAGTTGACCTCACCAAGTTGTTGCCACAGATAATTTAGATATTTACCTGCAAGAAGGAATAAAGCAGATGAAACCAATTCATTCAGTCCATTAGCATGATCTGAGCACTGCTTTGTGCTAGACCTTGTGCCTAGCATCAGAACTACAAAGAGGAATCAGATGCACCAAGTGCTTCTATGTCCTGATAGCAACTCAACACTATCTGTGGAGAGTAAACTAAAGATGTGCAGGCCAATGGAAATCCTATGTCAATGGGTTTGGATTGGAACCTGGACTTCCACATTTTTTTTTAAAGTTACTCAGAGATAATTCTAAAGATGAGCCATAGTCTAGAAGATTGTCAACCATAGAAGGTCATTGAGTGGGACAGCTAGACACATACACAGGCAGCTACAATAGTATCCTGAATTACAGTGATGTAGTTGGGTATAAAAGGAAAGTGATGGATATTGCTGGATGGGCATGGCCAGTGAGATTTCATGTCACTGAGGTGACAGCCATGCTGGACTTTGAATTACATATGAAGGCTTTCCAGGCAGATGAAGAAGAGAAGGACATTAAAGACAAGGGGAAGACTATGTGCACGGCATACTTATGTGTGTCTGTTAACTCTTAGTTGGAAATGCAAAATTCATGGTGCAAAGAAAACTCTCCGTGCTGTGATTTTTTTAAAACTACATACTTTTTGCAACTTTATGATTATGAATAGTATAGAGAACAGGAGATAAGTCTTAGATGATTTTTATGTTGTTGTTAGTCTCTAGCAGGCTGTTAGAAACCTAGCAGGCATTAATAATTGTGGAGGCAATGACTCTGAGGCTTATATCTGGGGCTTGTCATTATTTATCATTTATATTTGTATTTTCTTCTGAAATTTGAGAGCCAAGAAAACATTGACTTTGACTGAGGAGGTCACATCTGTGCCATCACTGTAAATCAATCAGCACCACTGAAATAGCTACTTAGCATTCTGCTGAGCTTTCCCTGCTCAGTTGAGACAAATATACTTGTCTCCCACCGCCATGAGCATGTTTAGGCAACCAGGATTAGAGCTGCTGAGGTTCCCAATGTCTCCTGCCACATCGGGTTCTCAGAATGGAGGGAACGGTTTATGCCAAATCGTTTTTCCTGTCTCAAGGACCACTGAATGGTTTTGCTTTTCCCTATTTTGCACAGGACAAGGCCCTAAAGATCAGGTGACTTGGCAAACCCACAAGTTTTAGTGTAATTCTTTGCTTCTGCTTCCTTTTGAAAGTAATGTTTAGATTTGATTTTATGTCAGAAATTCACTGAAGAATTGACAAAGTCATAGGTCACTGGGAGGGAGATTTGCGTGTCAACCAAAGGAATTGTCCCATGGCCCCAGAGCGTTTCTGTTGTTTACCTGAAATTCTGCTTTTTAAGTCAGCTAGATTGAAAAATCCAAACACTAGATGTTTTGTGGCAAAATGCAAGACAATCTGCAATGGAGATTTTAAGGATTTTGAGATGCAAAAGCAGATGTTACTAAGTGGCTTTATGCACCATCCATCAATTCTGAAGTTCTGACTCTTCCCTTACTCTTCCCCTGGTGTGGTCAAAGCTCCAGGCCACCAGAAGCTAGCGGAATAATGTAGTTGAATTCTTTACTTCATGGTACTGTATTCTCTCCAGCCATCAAAATGTTAATGATCTTTTATGTCTTTCACAGCAACACTCTATTCCTCTGAGTAGTGAAATCAGGTCAACTTTATCACCACCCTCCACTTTTAATATACTTCACTGTCACCCAGCACCCCCTTAAGATTTATCTAGGGCTCTATGGTGATGTTAGGACCCATAAAACCAATTTATGCATTCCATATGTTTGGTTACAGATGGGAAATGGGAATGCTGAAGGACAGGAAAGAAACGATGTTTACATATTAAGCATCAGTTCTGAAGCTAGATTGCCTGAGTTTGAATCTTAGCTCTTCCCTTTATTGGCTCTGTGACCTCGAGCTAGTTACTTTAATGCTCTGATCCTCTATTTCCTGATCAGTAAAACCTCCCTATTCAAATGAGTGAGAGTTTAGTCAATTAGAACACTTATAAAGGTTGGAGCTGTGCATAGCATGTAGTTAGCGTTCAGTACATATTGTTTTTTTATGATGTATAAACATGAGTGGGCACAGAATTTTAAATCATCTCAACTTTTAAGAAACTTTGAGTTATCAACACAGTTCCATGAGAGTGGCAAAATTATTGGTGAAAATTAAACAGCTGTTTCTCTGAGAAAGCAATGGAGGCTTGTTGAGATAAAGGCATTTACCGAGAGGCTGTTACCTAGTGAGAGTGATGAATTAATTAAAATAGCTGAATCCCTTTCTGACTGTCTCTGAAAGCTTCCACTTTTATCTTTGAAGAGCAGAATTGTCACTCCAAGGACATTTATTAACAAAAAGTACAACCATCCAGTTCAATGAAGGCAAAGTCATAGGTCTCCCAAGTCTTACTCTATTCATGTGAAATCACGTCCTTGGCTTTTCTCTATCAGGTAGCCTCAACTTTCTCTGACCAGGTGCATTTCCTTCTCCGGTTTCTAAAGTGCCAATGGCAAATTTGGATCACTTAATAACTGTTTCATTTTGTGACCCAACAAAGTCTTTTAACACTGTGGTGTCAAAAAGAAAAACACCTCCCGGGCATATACATTTTATAGATTCCTAAAGAATGTTGCTCTCCAGCTCCAACCCAACCCAACGAAATATGATCCAGAGAGTCTTGCAAAAGAGACAAGCCTTGTTTTCCACAATTAGCTCTAAAGTGCCTCCAGGAAATGATTTTCTCAGCTCATCTCTCTGTATTCCCTGTTTTGGATCACAGGGCAATCTGTTTAAATGACTAATTACAGAAATCATTAAAGGCACCAAGCAAATGTCATCTTTGAATACCCACGTCCCAAGTTTTACAAATCCTGCTTGGCTTGACAGTGATGAGGCCACTTAACAGTCCAGTGCAGGCGGATGTTAAAAAAAATAAAAAGGTGACCATCTGCGGTTTAGTTTTTTAACTTTCTGATTTCACACTTAACGTTTGTCATTCTGTTACTGGGCACCTGTTTAAATTCTATTTTAAAATGTCAGTGTGTGTTGTTTAAAACAAAATCAAGGAAGAGAGAGAGTTTGGGTTAAGTCATCATCTTTTTATTACCAAAATCATGGCAGGATATGTTTTTCACGACACCAGTGAGGACTGTAATGAGAATACACTCTTTCACTCTCAATCATTTATTGAAAGAAATAACTCATTTGGGGAGCATATTTGTCTAAGAGAGATGGAAGATAATGTGTTAGAATCAGGAGTACTTTTGAAATCATCCGGTCATGGGCATAAAGCCCCAAGGGGGGAAGAAGATGATGGTCAGAGGTGGTAGGAGCCCTTGACAGTTGTAAAAAACAAACTTGTGCTTCTTTAACCTTAAAGCCAGGAAGTGATGAGAGATGTCACGCTGAATTGCAGCCCTGTCAGGAGTGTCAATCAAGTCCTGGAGACAATGTATCACTATAATTGCCATATATTTCCCTTCTTCAAAGGGGTGCCTGTTTGTTAAAAACACAATTTTCCTACTTTAAAACCGTATGGTTGTTACACAGTCTAATAGTACTATCAAACATTATTTCCCTGGCTCTGTAGAGTTTAGGAGTGTTTCGGGGTATTGCAGAAGAAAGGGCACCAGTTGTACTAAAGACATTGTAAACCATGGTAAGTTAACCTGTACAATGGAATTAGGATCAGATGTGAATTTAGGGTCTCCTTTGAAGTTAAATTGCATTCTTCAAATGGGAGTCAGTAGAGATTTAATGAACCAGTACCCTGGTTTGTTCCTAACTCCTCTTCCATTTTCATGGAGATGAAGGGCAATTTTATTGGGCATATACAATGATGAACAAGAATTTCTGTTATGGCCTTATTCTCCTCTCCAAAATTGCCTCTGACATGGCAAAAGTCCATGGTCAGAAAAGTAAGAATACTCTGTATTGGCATTTCTTTACAGCAATACTTTCTATGAATAATTAATGGCCCAGAAAGATGAAGTCTTTTTTTCTGGTTTCTACCTTCTCATAAAGTTCAGCACCTTGTATCAACTTGGGTGAGGAAAGGAGAGTTCAGATGTCCCTGGCTCAATAAGCTCTGAATTTATAAACAAGAATCACATTCCCTTTCCATTCAATCTCTAATCCTTTATAAAGATACAACTGTGGAGACGATCTTTCAAGATCTTAGATTAGATAATTTTTCATGTTCTAATAAGAAAGTTCTGAGGGGAGCACTATGATCAAACATAGCTGATGAGAACATATAATTATTTTTATTCTTTTCCTTATCCTCCTCGTTTTCCTATTCCTCCTCCTTCTCTTCCCCCTTCATCTTGGTAGCTCTTAAACACTGTAGAATTTACCACTTATCCTTCAACAATAGAATATTTTTATCTGAGAATAAACATTTGCACAATAGTAGAGATATTGCAATATATAAATTTTGGGGAAAAAACCCCTCAAATCCTATATCCTGAGACTTTTAGTTTGTTAGTTCAAAATTTATTCAACAAGCAACTGCAAGTCAAAACATCAGGGAGTACAATATTGCTTAGATATGTTTGTATTTGTCCAGAAGACTTTTATTAATATTTGAGATTTTAAAAATTACTGAATTGCTAAATCCTAAGAGTCCTGAAAAAATCAATACTGATATGGTAGGCATTAACTTTAGGAAGTCAACACACCTGCATTTCTTCTCTCTTGAAAAATATATTTCATAAAGATACTGTTCAGATGTAATCAAATCATGGAATAATTTACATTTCCTGATGAAATTTTCCTGTTTATTCCAGAACTTGGTAGGTATTTCACTTCATCTTCCTTCTCTCATTACTGAGATGCCACTTACTGCATTGTACAATGGTAAATATTGGCGAATGATGCGAGTGTGTCAGGCTTGGACTGTTAGGAGTGCTGGAATAGATCTCTGAAGCACAGCCAGGAAAGGTTAGAGGGGAGGATGCCTATAAGATGGGGCAGGATTAGGAGTTTGGTATTAGGCAACTTGAGTTATGAAGCAAGCAAGTAAAGATGTCAAATAGGCAGTTGTTTATGTGAATGTGGGCTAGAGTTACAAAAATAGTATTCTCATCCTGGGAGAGAAGTCTGGGCTGCAGTTACAAAAGTCATCATCTTGTCAAGGCCACACAATTACACAGGTGTTTATTGTGATGAAGTCCCTTCCATCTTGTAATTGTGCCATCTGGAACATTTAGCCTGTGAGATAGCAGGGAAAGAGAGAGGAGAGAAACCACCTCTTAAACTTGTTACAGTGCCTTTTAAAATGGTTGCTTTTCACTTCTGCTGGGAGTCCATTGACCAAGACTAATCACATAGCCCCAACCTAACTGAAGGGAAGCTGGGAAATACAGAGAAACACACGGATTCCTGACATGTATTAACTACCACCAATTCACAGAGAGAGGAGATAATTGCTGAAGTGGTATACAGGAGGAAGCAAGAAATGATGGAATCTAGTGCACAAGCAGTGTACCTGGTTTTATATGGAGGCATTTATATACAACACAGAGCTTTTACAATAACAGAATTCTGCTGGTAGTTGGCTAGGTATGATGGAGGC